TTTTTTTTTTTTTTCAAGAATTCATTTCACTTGCAAAGCACATGCACTGTTCCAGCTTGAACACAAACAGAATGTAAGATTCAGAAAAAAACAGAAATTTGAAACATGACTTGAGTTGCAAATTAGTTGCAGCAAGTACTGTATCGCTCAGAACAACATGGAAGATATTCATACTGTTCAACATGTACTATCACGCTTTATCTCTTGTTCATCAAAACCAGAATTGGTCAGGAAAACCAAAGTTCACAGGTCTTATGTGTACACAATTGATTTCTAATTCTCACCTGACCTTATTGTTTCGATCAGGTCATGTGACATTGTTCAACCAATCATCAAACACAACTGACACTTACCTGATAGGTGTTGTGGCTTGATGCAGCTTACCAAAACTAACTTCTACAGGAAGTCTTTATTTAAATGTTCACTTACCTGTAAAGACAAAAAAAAAATGAAAAATTTAAAAAATTTGAAAAATGAATGGTAAATAAATTGTTGCAAGAGCTTTGACTTTGAATAACTCTTAAGTAATTAAATAAGCACTCGTTTTATAACCAAATGTTCAAAATATAGTTTTGGAAAATAAACAAAGTACATTTTCCATAAATGTCAAGTATTTTGCTATGATTTGGTTTTGACAAAGTTTAATTGAATTTGTTTGATGAATTCAATAGCTGTCGCCATTTCATAAAGTAGACTTCATCTGTGCTGAGTGTTTTACAGGCAAAGTGGACACATTTAGGGTACAGCAACTGTTAGATTTTGCAACTCCTAATTCCTGTAACTTTGCCTGCATAATGCATCACTGCATTCCAGATTAGTCTATAGCCTACAAATATAGCTGCATGGTGTAAACTCTTCAAGTACTTCAAGTTTTTATCTTCTTTGAGATAGAAGAACTGTATGTCCTTGAAGACTTTAAATTGGAACATGTATTTCTCACACTTTCATTACAGTCAGATGTGCGCTTTAAGGTAATGAGGCCCATCCCCATAAATCTGATGCCTCTTTCATTCACATGCTTCATGCAGATCTTATTCATTAAAATGTTTGAGAGTCATGACATACTGAATTTTACAACACGAAACATACAAGATACAGGTTTTTTGGTAGATTATTGACAATGTACAAAGTTTTCTCCACATATTTTCCGTCTCTCTAAGTCAAAATAATTCATAAAAGTAAAACAAAAGTCAGTTTTCTTCCTGAATTTACGATCAAATATCACAGTACTGCACATTCACAGCAGAATTTACTACCTCCCAATACATAAATCAAACACCAATGTGTAATAAATACAAAGTGTACGTGGGATTCGATTGGTCTTTCTGTCTCGAAACTGTTACCATTTTCTTATGATGTGTTATTTGTTTGTTACTTTTTCAATAAATTCCAGCCATTCCCAGAATGCCCTGACCCCGTTCTATGTTAGCTTCACGCCTCTGCCTGAGTCGTCACTCGTGTCAGATAGGAGATGGAATCTTTTCTGTTATTCACATCAGCCACAGAAAATGATCGGGTATTGAAGAGTTACCATTATCCAGATGGTAGTTTTTTGCAATGTCTTGTCTAGTTTTTGTGATGGAAACTTGTTGAGCTTTTTTTTAGACAGACGTCACGCCAACCTTTCAACTTATATAAGATGTGCTTAAAACAAACATTTGTGTCTGGTTTAACTTTGGACAGGTAGGATTGGTAAAGGAAGGCAGGTACTGGGCTAAATTTGATTTTGATATGCTTTAACTCTTCTAGATGTCAATTAGAACTTTTAACTCATTCACCCCTACAGCTTTAAACTAGACTTGCCCAGTCATTGATATGGTAAGGTTCAAGTGGGACTCTTTCGGAGTAATAATGAACACAAAAAGCAAGCTGTAAGACCTTTCGTACAGAACTGTTAGGGTGAGGCAATAAAGGGTCTGAAATGATATGTCTGATGGATGAACGTCACAACAAGATGGATTAGGGACTTAATGACATAGTCCTCCGCATCACACTCCACTGTTTTATCTGTGTAGTGACACAAATATTTGATAATCAACAGAAAAAATAATAATTTCATAACAGCTGCCGATCCCAGTAATTCTTTAACAGGAGTGTCATGTCAATCATCACAGGTTTGATACACATCTATGATATCCCATCTCCTTCCTGTTAATTGATAGTAATTTAATTCACACCATATGACTAAACCTTAATAGAACCACGATTAATCTTACCCGTCAACATTGATTCCATGTCGACAGCTTGCAATTACAAAAACCATATATATAATGAAATATTTATTTTCAAACATCCCAACCTTTATTTATTTTTAATTTTCACCGAGACTATGATGTAATTAATAGTAGCTATTAGAGTTGTGTAGGAGGGAGAGGTCTATAGAAAGCCGTAGACACACTAAACTTGTATTAGATCACCTATCAAACTGATGTGGGCGTGACAAGGTTGTAGAATCAATACGTTATCTGGAGAAATCAGCGGTATTTTAAGACGCTGTTATAATAACTTCCCTCCTTTGGCAGTTGTTTGTGTAAAATACATCAAAACAATACAAATTTGCTCCAAAAGTTATCTGTAATCTCCAAGAGTAATAAATGTTCATCTGAATAACATCCACAAATAAAAATATAAGACAAGGGTGAAATAAAATTACAATTAATACACATTCCATTATGCGTCTGATACACATTCCTTTACCATAGCCGTTTTATTAAAAATCTAAGACATATTTTATTACGCATCTAATTTTCAGTATTACCTATCAATGTCTATGCATATACCTGTGTAACGTTTACCTGTAAACAAACAGCTGTACACCAGGTGAGACCATCAAAGTCACAAGCAAGCTTTCATGATCAACCCTCAATAAATTAAATGGTAACAAACCTTGGGAGGCATTGCAAGTCATACAATCATAAAACTCCATTACAGCCGACTTAAAACATAAATATTAATTTCTAAAAAGCATGAAACCCTTTGATACTGCTAATTACAATAAATGACTACAAAAGTTGCTCCACACAAATCTGCCCAACTCTGAAGTCTTGTATCCAGTCTACCTTAACAGACAATAATCAGACACCTACAGACAATTCTACCTATTCTCACTATCTATTCACATATTTTTTGTAATTCATTCATGTATTTAATATAAAGATTACAAACAAACTAATAGACGACTAAATTGTGTGAGCAATAATATTGATTTTTAATGTATTACTGATGTTGATATAGTCATATTTTTAACACTTTCCGACACTTTACAAATTTATTTACTGTCATGTTGACGTCACGAATTACACTGCAAGACCACGAAAATAAACCAATAGCAAAAATAAGCTTGCATACAGTATCACGTTAAGGCCTCGTGGTGTGACTGGCTTATACACCGACCATAACCTATATCCCTGGGGAGTCTGGATCCACCTGAATTAAAGCAAACAGCTATAAACAAACTAACTCCCTATTAGATCACCAGGAAACCTAAGTCATTTAAGCAACACAAAGTTGAAAAATGGCAAAACTGTTCAATGGATGTTTTTTTTATTTAGGGGAGTGATGAGAAGATGAGTCAGTAGTTTATACATTCTCATGTTTTCTACAAAATTCCAGCTTAAAATCAACTTAATACATAACTAGGATACAATTTTATTTGCAACGAATGTGATCAGTTAAGTGTGATACGTCCATCAAATTAAATTCTGTTCAAAAATTGTGCCTATAAAAACTTTTACATATCTAAACACTAATACCAATACACAGAAAAATAATGAAGTTTCAGTCAAATCTAGATTTTGCTGATCAGATGCCAGTAAAATATATACCTGAGGAACCCTTAAATCAAAGTATATATGAACCAAATAGGAAATAAAACATTGCTCAGAGAAAGAAGAAAACTCAGCATGTGTATGTTGCTATAAATTAACATTATTTTAATTAATCACTTTACATTATTTGTATTCTATTATGTAAATGTATCAATTTGCATAAATATCTCTCTCACTTCACAATATGATAACATGTATGGATTAATTAACATCATCGCCATCATTATCACCTGACCAACAGCAAGACACTTACATACAATTCCACATTGTTTAAGCACATTTCGTAATTTTATTCTATGCTTGAATTATCTCCCTTTGTTTTCAATTCCAGGTTACTTCCCCTTTGATGCCGGCGTGTGTGTGTTCTGGGTGGCAGTGGATGTCCTTATGTGTACAGCCTCCATCTGGCACATGTGTACCATGTCCATGGATCGTTACTTTACACTTAAGTACCCTATGCGGTACGGACGCAACAAGACAAAGATGATGGTGGTTTTGAAAATTTTCTTTGTATGGATAGTATCTATTACCATTAGTAGTCCAATATTCATATTTGGGGCCAAAGACACAGCGAATGTGTACAACGACGGATTGTGTGCACCAACTGTTGCCGATTTTGTGATTTACGGATCAATTTTCGCCTTCTATATCCCTCTGACTATCATGCTTATTACTTATGTCCTAACAATCCGAATACTTTGGAAAAACCAAGTTCTTATGAAGAATATAGAACGTTCCAACAATTACCGACCACGTAATCGGTATGGAGATAATCGCTGTGTGATACGGACATTGTTATCTCCCCCTAGTGATGAGGGGTCACGTAAGGTGAGCTTGGGTAATAACAGTGATACAGATGCTACAATGCTGGCTGGAATTCTGCCACAACAAGACAACCTGAGCCCAAATCTGTCCAATCAGGACACGACAGATCCTCTTGGCCAGTACGACCTGCTCCCATCCTCGGACATCCAACAGGACACAGAATACCAGGAGACTAACCACAAGCTGCTCAATACTGAATATAAAGGGGGGAAAAATCGGTCAGCCTCCATGTCATGTCTGGAGATTCACATCTCCAATCCGTCTGATGATGACAGTTGTCAATGTGACTCACGGACGGACCTACTTTCGTCCAAATGCGAGTCCTGTCAGCACGGAGAACGGGAAAACCTCAGCCCTAAACTTAATATGTGTCAGTGTGAAATGGAAACGGACTTGGGATCTAAACCAAACCTGTGTCACTGTAGCTCTCAAACAAATGAAAAAACTACACTGGATGTATGTCAATGTGAGTTTGATAAGGAAGTAAAGGCATTAAAACGTAACAGACACACACTCCACTGTGCCGCATCGTTTAATAACGTTCCTAACCTCGACAAAAGCATGACAGCCTCACCCCAACGGCTGTCAGAAACTGTCCAATTTCACAGCTGTGGCAACCTCACACGAGATTTCAAATTCAAGGAGTGGAAGCAACACTACTTCCAGATCCAACGAGAAATGGACCAATGTTTGAAGGACGGTTGCGGTTCACCAAGTAGAGAACATTCCTCCCCGAACAAGGAGTGTCCGAACTGCTCTCCAAGTAAGGAACACTCTCCAAATAAGGAAC